CTATCTATCTATCTATCTATCTTAAAGATTTTATTTTTAAGTAATCTCTATACCCCATGTGGGGCTCAAACCCTATAACCCTAAGATCAAGGGACACATGCTCAACCGACTGAGCCAGCCAGGCACCCCTTGTTTTTTTATTTTTTGGTTTTGTTAGAATGCTAAATAATGGGGCCCACGTTGGATGTAGCAACTAGTTAAAAGTAAAATCTTAAAAAAAAAAAAGCTAATAAGCTCAAGTTCTACCCACCCCTTTGAATTACTCATCTCCAGGTACTCCCCTGTGTATGTGTGATGCTCACTAATAAACTTCTGTTTGTTTTTCTTTTGTTAACCTCTCTTTTGTTAGTCTAATTACAGGGCCCCTTCCTGAGAACTTAGATGGGTAGAGGGGGAAAAAAAAAGACTTTTCCTTCTTTACGGGATTAATGCTTGAGAAGGAAGCAGGGTCCTGGAAAGATATTTACAGGATTGGGTAGGCTACCCAAGAAGGCTGGGGAAAGGCTCTAAGGGAGCGGAGACTGTCAATGCTAGGGAAATTCAGGACAGGTGATGAGCAAAATACTTTAACTCTTGATTTGTGTGGATGTAAGCTAATTTGCTTTTTTGAGCTAACTTGCTAATTTGGCTATTTTGAGAATTTAGGTATCTGTTTCATTTGTTGAGATAGATGAACAGGTGAGGGGAGTTGAAAGGCAGTTATTATTCCTAAAAAAAAAAAAGGCAGTTATTTGATGGCAGAATGAAGTAAATTAATTTGCCTTACTGTAGTTTTCCTCTTCCAAGCAACTAAAAAAATAAAATGTAAAATTAAACTACTACATAAAAAAGAATGAAGTTCTGATACATGCTACAACATGGATGTGCCTTGAAAACATTGTATCAAGGAGCGCCTAGATGGCTCAGTTGGTGGAGCATCCAGCTCTTGATTTCAGCTCAGGTCATGATCTCAGGGGCTCAGTGGGGAGTCTTCTTGTCTCCCTCTCCCTCTGTCCCCCCATGTGTACTCTCTCCCTCTCTCAAATAAATAAATAAATAAACCTTAAAAAAAAGAAAACATCTCAAGTGAAATAGCCAGACACTAAAAGACAAATATTGTATTATTCTACTTAAATAAAATATCTAGAATTAGGGCAAATTCATAGAGATAGAAAGTAGATTAGAAATTACCGAGCTGGGGAGACGAGGATATGGGGAGTTATTGCTTAATGAGTATAGAGTTTCTGTTTGGAGTGAGGAAAATTTTTGGAAATAGTGATAATGGTTGTACTATATTGTGAGTGTAATTAATTCTACCAAGTTGTATGCTTTAAAATGGTTGAAATGGCAAATTTTATGTTATATACCACAAATAAAATCATAAAGAAAATTAATCCAATATATTGGAATCCTGTGGTTATATTGAATTGGGGTAGGAGGGTTTGGGTAGGTCAGAACAGAAGAGTGTTTTATAAAATATACAAATTATATTCTGTTCTGTAAAAGCATGATTCTCTAATTGTTAAACTCATAATCCTGAAGAAGTCACCATACTTTCCACCAAAGAGTATGCAGGGTGTTATAATCACTCATGAGATAAGACATACATTGCTATTGTATTAGTGGCTTGGATCATTCTTCATATACTTTGACACTAGCTATACCCTTCTGATCTGGAAGTACTGAGGTTGCCAATATGTAGGTGATTTGAATTATTATAAAGATTTATTTAAGCATCCATTGTGGAGACTTCAAGTATATTACACAAATAGCCATGTCTCTATAAATAGTTGTGTCCTTCACCTCATTATGGGATACTTTTTTTTTTAAAGATTTTATTTATTTATCAGAGAGAGAGAGAGCACAAGCAGGGGGAGCTGCAGGCAGAGGGAGAAGCAGGATCCCCACTGAGCAGGGAGCCCAATGCGGGACTCGATCCCAGGACCCTGGGATCATGACCTGAGCTGAAGGCAGACACTTAACCAACTGAGCCACCCAAGTGTCCCTATGGGATACTATTCCTATGTCTTCGCGAAGCCCTGGCTTAAGGCTGCCTCAGAAGCAATCCAGGTGGTGTCTACATTGTGTAATAAGGATGAGAAGGTAGAATAACAATCTATGTTTATCCCCAAATCTTGAATTCTCTGAACTCAAGCTAATTTGGGTTAATGCTGTTTGGAAATGGTTAAGGTGGTCGTTATCATAGTCAATATCACCAGCAAGCAAACAGAATCCTTTTTTAGTTCATTTGTAGTGTGGTATCCATATGTAAGTACTTCCAACACAAAAATGGCCTAATTATGGGTCAAATTGGGAGCTGATTTTTGTCTTCACTTGAGGAGTACTATCAGAGTACAGTATATCACAGAAAAGTGCCTTGAATGAATGCAGTCACTGTTTTCCGTGTTATGACCTAGTCACAGGCAACAGGTAATACCACTGGTTGACCAGATTCAGTGGTAATACCACTGGTTGACCAGATTCAACATTTATATATATTAATCATTTGCTGGGATGTGTATGGGAGGGTTTCAAGTTGGGCAATGATAGTAACAGGTAATATTTGGGTAAAGAAGGGGCAATGATATTTGAGGGTTTGAATTGTAAATAACATATTCTAATATTGGTGTTAGAAAGCTTACCTGTCCAGTGTCTGTCCCAGTTGGGTGAAATGAGAGAAGACATTGAAATAAAGTAATAGTTGTGGGCATTTTGTTAAAGTAATTAAACAAGGAGGCTGTTAGACTAAGGAGGCTCTAATGCCTTGGTAACCAACATAAGCAAACTGAAACCTAAGCCAAAGTCAATGAATGACCTTGAATCTGAGAAAATGAAACTTAATAACTACTAATCACAAACTAAGTAGGCTTTCCCAAATAGAGTAACTGCTTATTCAAATACTTCTTTCGATTTGCTTCTGAACACTCTGAACCATTTTCTGTTTGGGGTTGTCTGACTTGAATCAATGTTTGCTCAAATAAACTCTTCAAAAATTTAATGTACTTCAGTTTATCTTTTAACAGTTCACTGAGTGCTTTCCATGTGGTAAATCTAGTTCTGTAAAAGCATGATTCTCTAATTGTTAAACTCATAATTCTCAAGTGACTAGAAAGTGAGTAGGTGTCAAAGTTTTATTTAACACAAGTGGAAATAAACGAAGGCCACTCCCTTGAGAAAGACTATAGAATGTACTATATAGCAAGGGAGTCAGCCATTTTCACTTATGTTTGGTAGAGATTCAAAGGCAGTTAGGGAGAGGGGAAAACTTTATAATGAAAAAAAGGGGGATGCTTCTGGTAGGCTCTTGTTTTTTAGATTTATTTATTTCTTTGAGAGAGAGCAAGAGAGAGAACGAGCACACATAGGGTGGGCAGAGGGAGAGGGAGAGAGTCCCAAGCAGACTCCCTGCTGAGGGTGGAGCCTGACGTGGGGCTCCATCTCACAATCTCATGACCCTGAGATCATGACCTGAGCTGAAATCAAGAGTGGGATGCTTAACCAATTGAGCCACCCACGCGCCCCATGGTTCCGATTAAAGGTTGTTGGTAGAGGAAGCTGGAGGTGGAACCACCAGAAGTGTGATTGGTTTGGGGAGCATATGTATTTGGTTTTCTCTAGCTGGTCCTGATACGAATGAACAACCATGTGTGAGTATATGTGTGTGTTGGGTGGGGGAAGTTGGCAGCCTTTGAGCAAATCTTGACCATCTTGAGCTAATTGCTGCAGAGGCTGGTTTCTTATGTGGGTCAGTGTTTTATTATTACATATGGTCTAGCCATTGTCCTATTTGTATATTAAATCTCTCACTCATTAATAAAGAGCCAGCAGAATGATGGAACTGGTTCCAAGAGGATATGAGAAACTAGGCTTTATATAATAATTGGGGAAAGGAACGATGACATACAAATTAATAAACTGATACAAAACTGGCTCATGTTTCTCAGGACAAGGTAATTTTAACTTTAGGGATAATTTTTTTTCACTTGCTGCCGGCTCCTTCTCTCCATTACACCTCATCATTTTTTTTTTTTTAACCAAACTCTGAGTTTACTGGGTTGTAATATTCCAGCAAAGTTAAATTTCCTGAGGGTGTCAGATGAACAAGTGAGTTTATTAGAAAATCCTCTAGAAAAAAAAAAGAAAGAAAATCCTCTAGAATGAAACTAATTTCAAAGAGCCACACCTCAACCATCTTTTGGCTTTATTTCCAAGTTTTGGATAAAAATTTATGTATTATTTCATTTAGTCTTCACGTCAGTCCAATGCAAGTACCCTGTATGGTAGTACAATTACTATTCTCATATCTCAGATGCGAAAACTGAGGCACAGGTTAAATAACTTGACTAATCAGTACTAAGTAATTAAATAGCTGCAGAATAGCTGAGCACTGGCTTTGCGGCCACCTCAGGTTTTAAGAGTGAGGAAAGGACAGGGAATTGACACACTCCAATACCTCGAAGGCTGTGGGCAACGCCAGTTATCTTTGTCGTGGCTTTATCCTATCTCTTTATGTTGCTTCTGAATTCTAAATCCTTGTCCAAGGAAGTTCACAGGTGTGGTGGTTGGGAATTTAAGCTGGGCTCCACGTCCGTATTTGCCTTTGCTAGCCTTGCGGTCTTGAGCAAGTCATTTAGCTTCACCGGGCCTGTTGTTTCCTGACTTGTAAAAGAGAGAGCTGGGACCATGTCCTTTGAAGTTCAGGTGCTGGTGACTAGCATTTGAAGTAAAGTACCAAACACCTGGAGGAGGATCTGGCCGCTTTAAACTTCTGCAAAGGAAAGGTTTTTTCCATTGTAGTAACGGCTACTTTCTTCCTACCTGAGTCTCATTCTCCGCCCTTCCCCCCTCCGCCCCGTTGTCATAGAAATGCGGGACGCCCCAGCTGGCTGAGTCCCCTCCTGCTAGACTTTTGGCGGGGCACGTGACGACGCACGCGCGCTCTCGGCGGCGGGGGCGCCGCGGTGCCTGCCGGGACTGAGCTCCTAGTAGCCTGATCAGGAAGTGGCGGGCGGAGCCCCCGGCCGAGTCGCGCCGCCTCAGCCGCCGCCGCCGCCGCCGCCGCCGCCCGCGCGGCGGGATGGACGATCAATCCAGGATGCTGCAGACTCTGGCCGGGGTGAACCTGGCCGGCCACTCGGTGCAGGGGGGCATGGCCCTGCCGCCTCCCCCACACGGCCACGAAGGGGCGGACGGCGACGGCAGGAAGCAGGACATCGGCGACATCCTCCACCAGATCATGACCATCACCGACCAGAGCTTGGACGAGGCGCAAGCAAAGTTGGTGTCGTCTCATTAAGCATCTTTTGTGTGTGTGCGGGAGCCGGGCCCGCGGCCGAGTCGGGGCCCGGGGTGGCGCCCGGGGCAGGGGCCTCATCTCTGGGCAGGGAACTTTCTCCGCAAACCGGCCGCCTGCCAGGGCCTCGGGGGGACTTGCCCGCACCCCTCGACGCGGGCGGGAGTCGGCAAAGTTGCTCTCGGGGCACGGGACTGACTTGGTGCCACTAGGATTTTGTGGTTTTCTTGCCCTCCCCCGTCCGGCCCTCTCGCAGCCCGGCCCCCTCCCACGGATTCAAACCTCCCGCCTGGACCCTGTGCACGCCGCCCCGAGAGGGCCCCGGGCCGCACTTGCGGGAAGTGCAACTTTCTCCTCCGTCCCGGAGTCGCGGCGCCGGGCTCCACTTGGCCGCGGGACGACCTCGCCGTGCGGGTGGCCGCCCCAGCCGGGCGGGCGCGGGGTGATGGGCGGTTCCCTGGCGGGTCCGGGTGCGGCCGGCCAAGTTCTCGGGGAAGGGAGGGCCGCCTCGCAAACTTTGCCGAGCTGTCACCGCTCGCCGGCCGTGGTCGGCCGGTCGCCGGCGCCGCGCCCGCTCCCCCTGCGGAGGGCGGACGCGGGAGTCCCTCCGCGCCGTCCCCTCCCCCGGGTAGCCGTCGTCTGCCCCGCTATCTAGGCTCCCCGCGCGGGTTCGCGCCCTGCGGTCGCCGAGGCAGCTGCCTGCCGGGCAGATGGGTCGCGCCTGGTTCGGGCTGGATCTTTGGCCGCCGGAGCTTGCGGGCTGTCGCTAAGTAGTCAACTTGAGTTTCTGTTGACTTGCCATGGTTCCAAGGAGCCTTCCAAAATAGAGGGCCGGAATTAAATCTTGGGTCTAACTTAAAGGAAGGCGCCATATTATTCCATAGGTGATGCTAATACCTTTGTGTTTTGCTATTTGTTTTTTAGGAAACATGCCCTGAACTGTCACAGAATGAAACCCGCGCTCTTCAGCGTCCTGTGTGAGATCAAAGAGAAAACAGGTAAGAGGCTGCGCCCCGTAGTGGGCCTGGAGACCCCCGAGGTGGGGTCAGAGCTACTCCTTCCACTCTCCAGTTGAGAGCTGCTGCTTTTGGGCACCGCCATCTTTGATCATTCTCTCCTTCCCACCTCCTGGTCTTGAGAAAAAACTGCAATAAATCTGGAGTCGATTTCTCAATTCCGCTCCTGGTATAAAAGGAAGTGTAGATGCGGACCGGGCTGGGTCGCTGTCCCCAGGCGGCCGGCCCTGGCTGCAGGCAGGGAGGGGGCTCTGGAGCGCTGACCGCCCTCTCCCGCTCCTTTTCGCCTTGTTTGTATGTCAGTTTTTAAAAGGAGCAACGGGAGACTGAATGCCAGGGACCGAGTCCCCGGGAGAAGCATCGCCCGAACTTTGTTTTACTTAGACAGTCCTAAGCTTCAGCTCCACAGATCGAAGAATAGATGCAATTGAACAGACTCCAGTAGGATGTTTGAATTAGTGTTTTAGTTGGGAAGGCTACTTTTAAGGAGCAAGAAAGGGTAATGATGTGTTTAGGCATATACAATGTGTTACATCTATTACTACTTTCATTAAATTTTATGCTTGAAGTCATTACATTGTAAATATGTTTAGTATATTTTATAAAGTAGAAAAAGGTTCACATTAGCAGGTTAAACAATTTTTGAAGTGTTCAAAGCAGGGAACATATGAGAAGACAGGTTTTACAGAAGTGCTGGAATAAAAACTACAAAAACAGACAAATTTCTGGCAATTCATTTCAATTTAATTTTCTTGTTAGACTTTTTAAAATTAAAGGTATTTTAGCCTTGAGGTGATAGTAGGAACTCAAGTGGAATTAGAAATTTAATTTAGATGCTTTAGTTCGGATTTGGCATTATCTGCCCTGTATATGGCAAAAAAAAAGTGCATTAAGCAAGCTTTACTGTTGATTTGTGTGTGTGTGTGTGTGTGTGTGTGTGTGTGTGTGTGTCTGTTAGCTATAAGGTATTATAAAGTTGCTGTTTTTTAAGTTGAGGCATAGAAGAGAGAGTTAAAGTCCAGGATATAGCAATATCCAATATCCAAGTGATGCTATTTAAAAGATTAAAAGTCATTGTGTTTAAATCGAGTGCACAAATGATAGCACACTGAATATACATGTTAGTTGGTAGGAGAATTGTCCTCCTTTTAAACATATTTTTCACTCTGCAATGCTATTCTGATTCTAAAAGTAATCAAGAGAAGATGATGGATTATTGCTACCTATTAAAATATATGCTAAAACCATAATTAACAGAAAATATCGAGATCCTTAAAGAGTAGTTTTCCTGCTTATCATTCACATAGTATTCATGGTTTGTAAATGTTGAGTGATTCTTTTAAAGATAGATTTTACATTTTGAAAACCATAGGCATTTTAAATTACCAACTTACTCTTGATTTTTAGCTACCTTTAGGAAGCATTGTGATTTAAAACGGTAGATAATTTTTATCTGACTATAAAATAAGACATCAAGCATTAAATCTTGAAGATTCTTAGTTTACAAGCCTAAAAGTGTACAATTCTCAGTAAATTATGTTGCTTAATGTCCAAGGATTTTCTTGCTATCAGGGCTCCACTTCAGTTTCTGCTGACAGCTAAGCACTGGGGTATTGACTATGTTGTGAATATTAAGATTGATTCAACTTACACGGCATTATATTACTAGGGAGGTGGGATTGATATTCTTCCCCTATCACCCCCATCTCGTTATTTGTATTTATTTATTTATTTATTTATTTTTTGCCTTTTTAAAGTTTTGGCCTAGCCAGCTTGAGAGCCAAACCCAGCAAACTGCTTTTCTTGTTTAGACATTTAGCAGCAGGCAGAATTCAATTAGGAGGCATAAGTCCTCTAGTTGCTTATTTGCACAAGACTTAGTTACACCATTCTGAAAGGAAAGTATAGTCAGCCTCATGTCAAAGGTGAGTTACAAAAAAGAAACAAGTCTTTTCAGAGTCTGGGATTACTGGCAGAGAGAGCTTTGCTAGGGCTCTTGCTATTTAAGAAGCAAGAGGTAGCTGACAAAGGAAATTTTTGTGTTTTGAAAATTGTTTCTGAGGCTTTCAGTGATAACTTGTAAATTAGATCCTCTTTTTATGTTTTGGCCAGCAGATTCAAGTTTGCACATTATCTCTTTTGTAAAAAGCCAGCAGCCGACAAAGAGTAAAGGCGGCTGACTGGGCTGAGGCATCTTCCTGCCTGCCTCTCTAAGCTTGAGAGGGATGGGATTTAAGTACCAAATGATTGATGGGGGTGAAGCTCTTTCTCTCCTCTCCTTTCTCCCCTACTACCCATAGCTCCACCTCACCCTCCAAAACTAGTCTTAAAAGGAGACAGGGACACTGGACCTAGTATCCTTGATTTGAAATAAAACATCTGCGTAGACATTAGTGTTACCAAGGCAAAGAAAGCAGGGCAGCAAATTCCAGGCCTCCCCCCTTCTTCCTCACATCTGTTCCCACAGTTCTGCTTTGGAAACATCATGAACTAATAAAATAAGCATTGTAGAATATATGTGTATTGCATAATGATTTTTCTTTAGATCATTTTATTTAATCTAATAATATAGTATCCAAAGATTAATTCTCTGCAACGTAGAGAAAGTTTACCTAGTCATTTGTAAGAGAAACCGGAACATTATGTGATGACTCTATTCTGCATAATGGAGGGGTAGGGGGTTGACTAGTGGGAAGGTGGGGGGGAAAACTGTCACTTCAATGGATAATGTCATTTCAGTTGTGATTCTCCTAAAATAAGACAAAATCATTTAAAAAAAAATTCCGTATCTATATATCTGCCAGTAGAGTTTGAGGTTTCTGATCAGGCAGTGAACATAGCCAGTTCTGATGCACATGAGGGATTTAGTTTGGAAAACATCTTTTTTCTCTCCTACCAAATATGAAAAGGTATTTTTCCTTTCTGACAGATAAATGCGTAATCTACCACAATTATATTATTTTCTTGTTCAGAGGTAGGGAAAGTATACTTTTACTATGAGGTGCTTGCCTTTTCTTGAAAATGTATTCTTTTGTAAAATCCATTGTACAATTATTTTTGAGTAGAAACGTCATCTCTAGTTGAGTTGTGATATTTATGCAGTTTGAAAGCAACTGAAGAGTTATAGGCTTTAAAATCAACATATTTCTCTATTTTAAACTAAGAAACCAGCGAGATAATTGTTGATATGTTAAGATTTTCCTCTTAATTACTTTTTAGTCATATTTTACCATCTATATCTTATTAAATATCCCTGATGCTCCGAGGTCTCCTCACCTACATACTTATTTTGGTGCATTCCCTCACATCTTTTTGGCCACCTTAATCTGATTGTTGAAGTACTTTTCTTTGTGAAATATTCCATCCTCACAAATCTGCCTTCTTTCCAAAGCCTTTAATTATGAGAGTTCAAATGAAGAAAATGGTTCTTTTTGAGAAATAAATGTATTTTTAAAAATTCTAATGAAAATCCACCATTTTCGTATATAATCTGAATCATATTGTGAAAAAACTGTTTTGTATTAAAAAAAAATCAACACAACCTTTTCCTTTCTAAATGGTAGGTTAAAATACTCTATGTTGATAGCTGCCAACCAAACTCTGATTTATTGCCACCACAGACCCTAAATAGCGTTCATTTACTAGTAATGTCTAATGGCATACATGATGGTTTGCCAGATTTGTGGCCTTTGTGAGGCTTATAAGCAAGACTGACTTGGGAAGATCATAAAACTTAATGAACTTCTCTACTGCAGGAGGTGTCCGCAGGGGAAGAGAAAGGCCTGCTTGGCTGGTTGGGCTGGTTGAAGTATTTTTTATTTTAAGGAGAAGAAAATGACTATTAAAAATGCTTTACTTTTAAAGGACACCCCCCCCCCCCACACCGAACAAGTCATAAGAATTTCAGATATCAAAACTGGATCAAGAATGTAGCTTGTTATGTGAGTTTTTATATGCATTTAGAATGTGATATATATGATTAAACCTTTTATCTTTAGTGATATCAGTGTGACTAGGTTTCAGAGGGACAGAGCTGTGCTTTCAGTGAACCTCTATTTAATTCTGACCCTACAGGCTTAGAGACTCATTGGAGTCTTTTTTCTGTTTTCTTTTTTTTTTTATGCTTCAATATTAAAATTTGTTCTTTTTCTTTGTATAGTGCCATGTAATTCTTTAATTCCCAATGTATAAAAACCAAATATTCCATGAAGTGAAAATTTAACAGGAAAGATGAAAATTGTTATACATGAGACTAAGTGCTGTTGTACATATTGCATGTATTCTTTTAAGTTGCTCTTGCAGTATTTCCAATATAATTATCATTATTTGTCCCAGACTTTTAAAAGCAAATGCACCGTTCCATACATGATTCATTTTTGTGTTTTAAATGAACTTACTTTCTAGCTTTTTAAAAACTTTTTATTATGGACAACTGGAAACGTAAAAAACACGTAGAGGGAAGAGAAACTTGAACCTCCATGAACTAATTGCCCACTTTCAGCAGCTAGCAACACTTGGCCAGTCTTGTTTTCTCTGTAACTCCCACCCTTTCAAAATTATTTTGAAGCAAATTTTAATGGACTTTTAACATTTTAAATTTCATATCTGTTTTAGACACATTATGTCTTGTTTACATTGGAAATATTAAATAACTAAACAGGAAAAAATATAAAGTCAGGATATCTTAGAAATGTCGTAAATTATATTGCTTTATCACAAATTTTTCCTTAAAGCAATTTAAGAATATTTTTATTGAATTTTTTTTCTATTTTTGTAGATTTGTATAACTCACTGTAGCTTCTTAAGGAGGTATTGAAGGAGGATGTAAAAGAGTGGTGTTTTGCTAACTTTCTTACTCTACCTCTCTTATCCTTTTAAGACAATACATGCAACATACTCATAGAAAATCTACAAAAAAATCCTCCTACCATCCTGGTTTAGAACTTCATGATCTACGGTATCAAGTATTATATTATCTTAAA